AAAGGATTAGAGAAAGGGGTACGTAACAATATGTATATGTATATGTATATATATATATATATATATATATATATATATATATATATATATATATGTATATATATATATGTATATATATATATATATATATATATATATATATAGTATATATATATATATATATGTATATGTATATATATATATGTATATATATATATATATATATATATTTATATATATATATATATATATATATATATATATATATATATATATATATATATATATATATATATATATATATATAGGGGGCCCAGAATTTTTTTTGCGGGTTGGCCCTTTTTTCTAGTTCCTTCCGCTGCATAAAATACTATTCTTGTGATCATTTAAAACCAACCTATTTTGATAGTAGCAACTATAATATTAGCCGGCTGGTAGTGTGTTATTCCTTTCAGCCTTCCGTCATCGATATTGAATGTAGAAACATATCAGTAAACACCTCATGCCGTGCATTACTTGCAACGCATTGTCTTATTCAAATAATAGGGTAGGATCTATTTATGTAACGACTTAAATTTGTAGGCAAAGTTTTTACTCTTTTGCATACGTCAACAAAAGAACATGAAGAAAATATTAAATACGCGCATTACTAAATCATTAAGCGGAACAATGCCAAATGATATTTTTGCATAGATTCTTATAAAAAGGATACATTTTAATAACAGCAGAGTCGAATAAAACTAATTATTACAATGTTAAATAATTATGCCAGGAAATAGGAATAGAGGGCCATTTTATTTGATAGAGCCATTGAAGCGTTTGCGTTTCTGCTTTCTTTTGTGTTTTTTTTTTTGTATGTTTGTGTTTGGTTTTGTTTCTGTTCCCAAGTTGGTACATTTAAAAAAGATTCACCGTGGCGAAGCACGGGTATGCAGCTAGTATAAATATAAGAATATAACGCAAATAATAAAGAAAGAAAAAAGGAAACTCATCTTGGTGCCTATTTGCCTTTAAAATTTGGTGCCTGATTTGTTATGTATATTTCAACACATTTATTATAGGCCTACAGCATTTTAATTTTGTTTATTATTATAGTAATGCAAAAATCCAATGAATAATAAAAGGTAACATTTTTTTACACAGATTTGTTTCATAGACACCAATTGTAAGACGCGCTTTTAGCATTAGGAGTCTCTTCTCTTGATTTTAAGCCAAATTCCATTTTCACTTTTTAATACAGCCTGAGCACTTCTTGCTACTGGTGGACCATCAGGTGCCGACTCCAAAGTGTACCTTCAACAAAAATATAATTGTTAATTGTAGTTTTAAAAATCTAAAAGAAATAGACATTTCTTGTAGGTACTCGAGAAAGTGGACTTTTCTCGTAGAAATCTCTGTATACCAACAAGTCTTGTTTCTTTTGCCACTTCCAAGAACAATTTGATTTCAGATTTCAATTCAAAAACACAAAGATTTTATATAATTTACGACTTATACTAGCAATGGACTCTTGATGTCGGATTGGTTAGGGCAGTGGTTAGGAAGCTAAATCTTTTCTGTTTTCTGAAAGCCCGATTTTGAGCTAAACATAGATGGCGCACCATCCGTACAAACCCCCACAGCCGTTCTAACCCATTTTAATCATCCAGTTTCAAAAAAGGTATTTAATTTTCTCCATGCTATCTTCATAAAAGAGTAACTCTTCTTTGCTATCATCCGCATGAATATAGACAGACCAGCAACTGCGAACACGAAATCACGTCTGTTGATTTATCAACTTGAAAAGCAAACAATTGTGAAAGCTTAATTTTAATAAAAATGTGTTATTTAACATTTACGTACATGCAGCGTCTGATGAGATTTTCTCCTATTGTTTTTTTTTAGCGCAATTTCCATTCTGGAGAATTGCGTTTATTAACCCGTCATTTCTGGATGTATGAATGAATGAATGAATGGATGGATGGATGGATGTGTGTCCGCAGCTTTAAGTCGTATCTCCTCCTCAACGAAGCAATATCGATGACTAGTTCCAAAAGCAATTATGTTAAGCAAGTTACGAGGATGAGCATAGGCCATAAAAAATTCCGGGTTTCTTTCATGTATTTCCACTTAGCGACTTGAAACATGTACCAATCGATTCCTGCCATAATTAGAACAATATTGCCGAAGAAAGTTTTCAAAAATATCCTCTCGTTCGGGCACAAAATTTTAAAATTACATAAACACCTACAAAACCAATCGTTCTTCTAGCTTGAACGCACCCCAGGCTTTATACGTCAGAGCTATTTTTAGATAACATAAGGAAATTGCGCATACATGTCACTAGACTTTTTTAATTAACTTGATTTTTTGCTTGGCATTTTTCTATCTCGACTTCATTTGATGCTTGCACTAATGCTGGTGAAAACTTCCTGTTCGATCAAGGTTCTGGCGTTTGCAACTAGCTTCTTATTGACGAAAGAACTCCATATACCATGTATTTTTTGGTGTGTTCCGAATGACTCGTCTCAAATGACGTTTTTAGTTTTGAAGATTTTATAGATTCGTGACTGAGAACAACTTTGTACAGTGAGCTTTGTTTCTTCTCTAATACATTTCCAGTAATGCTAATGAAGCCGAATTTCAAAAATTCTTCTAAATATTTATGTTTTGTTTTTTCAAATTACTAAGGTTTAGTATACCAGTTGGCGACCCCCCCCCCCCCAGAAAGACCTTCGCGACCCCCAGGTTGGGAACCCGTGCTGTATAGGCTACTTCGTATACGAGAAAGTAAAAAAATGTAAGCAATTTTAAAAAAATTATATCGCTTTAGCGGTACCGGTACCTGCCCTGCACAAACATGTGAGATTAACCTATTTCTAAATATATCATGCACGCCCCGGGGGTTTGAGAATATACAAAATGTTCTATTAAAAATATATATGTAAATATGATGAACATAAATTAACATCAAACGCAAACGTAAATATAAACACCAATGTAAACGAAAACAAATCATAACCGCAAATGCAAACTAAACAGGAAACATAAATACAAACATAAAAGTACATTACACGCAAACATAAACACAAACATAAAAGCAAACAATAAAGCAAACGGAAACTTAAACGTTATTATAAAAGCAAAAAACGTGAACGGAAATGTAAACGCAAAAATAATCGCAAACGATAAAGCGAAAAATAATGTAATCATAAACACGATCGTAAACACAAACTCAAACCTAAAGAATAACGCAAACGGAGACATAAACGTTAACATAGATCACATTTAGATACGGTTCGAATCAGTTACTCATTTTAAAATAGTCTAATAACAAACTTTTCTGTAATATATCTATCTATCTATGGCTACAGGACATTACCCCCTGTATATTTTCCCCCCCGGACATTTCCCCCCCCCGTATTTACCCCCCGGAGCAATTACCCCCGGAGCAATTACCCCCTGTCAATTACCCCCCCCCCCCCCCCGGGGAATTACCCCCCCCCCCTCTCAAGTTAAAATCCTAACTCTAACTAGAATTTTATACCTATATACTACTTTAATCCAAACCTTACGAAAAAGACCAAAACCTAAGCATCCAGCTTAGCCTAAAACTTCACACAAAACCAAAACCAAAGCTAGACACAATCCTAACCCTAACACTAGCTCTAACTGTAATAGATTGACGATAGAAGCATGTGATTGTATATAAAACGTTTATTGGCCTCAACTTCATGATGGTAACGACAGCGAGCGGAAGTGACGAGAGACAAAGATATAAATACATATAAGGGACATCACTCAAGATAACAGTATAAATATAATACTAATACAAGAAGAGTGAGTTCCCTTGACTTCACAATTCTCACTATATTACACTAACCCTAACCCTAGCCCTAACCCTAACCCTAATCTTAACCCTAACCCTAGCCCTAACCCTAGCCCTAACCCTAGCCCTAAAACCTAATCCTAACCCTAACCCTAACCCTAGCCCTAGCCCTAGCCCTAACCCTAACCCTAACCCAAGCCCTAACCCTAACCCTAACCCTAACCATAACTCTAGCCCTAGCCCTAACCCTAACCCTAACCCTAACCCTAGCCCTAACCCTAAACCTAACCCTAACCCTAAACCTAGCCCTAACCCTAACCCTAACCCTAACTCTAACCCTGTCCGGGGGGGGGGGTAAATGTCCTATTGGGCGGGGGGTAATTGACAGGGGGGGGGGGGGGTAATTGACAGGGGGGGTAATTACTCTGGGGGGTAATGTCAAGGGGGGGGGGAATATCCGGGGGGTAATTGACAGGGGGGAAATGCCCTGTTCCCCTATCTATCTATATACTACTAAAACTCAAGTTTGTTTACATGTTTGAATATTTATTTGTTTGTCTGATTTGGTAATGTAAGGAAACTCCACTATATGGGGGGCTGTAAAATAGTATGTAGGTAGAGAACAATTTTTGATTGCAGACAGACTGTTAATCACACATTTATTTAAAGACGTTAATTAATTTATTGATTTATTCATAGGTAGATTAACCCCTTTTTTAAAAAAAGTTTTAGAGCAATGGCTTAACTTTGACTGAAAAGTGACGTTTGATAACTCATTTTTTTGTTTGTTTGTTTTTCTGATTTGTTATTGGGGAGAATCTGCATTATATGTAGAGCTGTAAAATAGGATTTTGGGTGGTAAATATTGTTCCTTCTTAAACACACTGTTAATTACAAACTAATTTAAAGCCGTTAATTAATTTATTGATATATTCATTGGTAGATTAACCACATTATCTATAAAAGTTTAAAACAATGAATTTAGTTATAGTAAAAAGATTTATTTTCATTTTACAACAATGTTTTCAATTATTTTTTCTTAAGGCCTATATGTTATTGATAAGGTTGACTATCAGCACCTCGCGGGACACAGGGCAGGTGAAGTAGAGTTCACCTGTTTCTATGTTCTCAGCATATGAAGGGATAGTGTGGTCAGAGCGATGCTCGGCCGGAATGGGTTTTTTTTTTAAAATTCAAACATGTCTGAGACTTGGCGGGACACTGGGCAGATGAAGTAGAGTTTAGTAGAGTTTTTAAAATATAAAAAACGTCTTTTTGAATGTGGGGTCTGGTTATTTTGGGATGATAAGTGCTGACAGACGTGATGTCATTTATGGATGACCCCCAAAACCCACAGTTATCTAACTAGATAACGGGTAGTCTAGTATACTACTAAAACTCAAGTTTGTTTACATGTTTGAATATTTATTTTTTTGTTTGTCTGATCGATTATTGTAAATAGTTCTACTCATTATGGAGAGCTGTAAAATAGTATGTAGGTAGAGAATAATTTTTATTGCAGACAGACTGTTAATCACACATTTATTTAAAGACGTTAATTAATTTATCGATTTATTCATAGGTAGATTAACCACATTTTTTTAAAAAGGTTAGAAAAACCACTAGACTCGACGGAACCGTGACGTCACAGTTTTTCGTTTACTTTGTTAGTGCAATAAAATGGCGGCGCTATCGAAGAAGATTGTGTTCCCATTCAAAAGATTAACGCATTCTAAATCTAATTTTCTGTCGGCCAAACCTTTAACAATGCGTCCGTCTGCTGTATTTATTACGTTCCAACACTTATATAAATTTTCAACTGTCTTTTTCATTTAGTTTTACAATAAATTTCTCCAGCTCTACAATCTGACCAAGAAAGTTATTTATAGATCTAAAAATATCATGTGACCAAGCAAGTTATTTATAGATCTAGATCTAGAATCTAGGTCAAACAAAAGATTAATTAGATACATACCAAAGATTAATTAAATAAAAATACAATCCATTTTATAATCATGATACATTTTTAGTCCTTAAATACTTGATATAAATCTTTGTGATTTATCTATCTAGATCTAGATTCTAGATCTAGAATTTCTAGATTCTAGATCTAGAACTAGATCTAGAACTAGCAAGAGTTACGCAAATACTAGATTCTAGACTTAAGCAAAAGAGTCGTAAAATCTAGATCTAGATAATTCTATCTAGATCTAGATAATTTCAGACCTTCTTTATTTTATATAAAACTTTGTTTGGCTAATTTAAGATAAAATTTAATTTGAAAGTTACTACTACTAGATCTATGCGCGTATATCAAGTTGCTTAAGGAGACTCAAAGTATTTAAGTATAGTATAAAAATTCATCTGTGACGTCACGAGTAAATAGCTAAGTTGTTAATGTATTCGGCTTTTATGCGGGTGGCACAGGTTCTAGACCAAAACGTCAATGATATTTTTTTTTTCAATTTTTATTTTATTTTTTAGA